TCAGCTGTCCTCGCCCATCTATATAGCGCACTTTGTAAAACTTCAAAAAAAAATTCCTGCACTTTTTATGGTTGTGCGTATCTTCTGCAAGCGTGGGGTTGGTCTAGGATGCTAATGCTTGCTCCAATAAACAGGAATTCTTTTACGTTCCCGTACGCCAACAAGTAAGTATCTTTTCAAGATTATTTAGCAACTACATATTCTTTTTCAGTTAATAATTTCTGAGATGTGTTTATTTCTTTAGGTGGTCTGTCCCAGGGATGAATTATCAGAGATGTCCAAGGCACTCAATAATTCAATACCGCAACCTAATCGACCACCTTGGGCCGGATGATGTAAGTTATTTCCCATTAATTTTTTTAAATGTATATGCATAAACCTCTCAAACTCTGTCTAACTTAATTGTCCAACTTTATTGTAGTTTGTCTGGATGCCGTACGAGGGTCTCGACCACGAGCCCAACCCCGACGATGCCGCTGTGTGGACATCAAAGACACCCATAATTAGGTTCACTACGGTGGAGATGCACCAGAGTGACCGGGTGAAACTACAATTTGGGATGCATCAGGATATTTCAGATGCTCCAATAGACTTGGGCCAGTGGCATCAAAAGCGGGTAGACGCACAGTGGAGTGTCAGTGACTGGAAGGAGTTTGCGAAGGAGTTGCGTATACACTGGAAAAGAAGGAGGCAATACGTCTTAACCGACCGTATTGTGCACGGGGCTAGGCCAAGTCTTCAATATTTGACTTGGTTTAGGTCTGTCACGACATCTCAGTCTTTCCTGTTCCAGCCAACCTATTTGGCCGACCCAAGGGAACGCGGTTCTTCGTCAAACCCACAACAACAGTTCAGTGTCCAAACCCAGCCTTACGAAAACCCCTACATGCCATCAAATAACCCCTATCAACAACGACAACCTTACGTGCCACCACCCACCCAATCCCAGCCTCAACCACCTTACCATTACAGCCCTGATACCTCTTTTGAGCCTACCCCTTCCACCTATAGCCCAGACAACTCATTTGACCCTCCCCCCTCCAACTACACCTCCAACTACCCCTCTAACGACCCCCAAAATTATCCATTATTCAACTACCACACCCTGCAACAACCAACACACATAGACCAACCCAACTCCATGTACACATTCGGACAACCATACCGTCCATACTCCACCCACCCTACCCGACAATCCTACGAAAACATGGGCATTGAGCTTGACTACGGAAGCGCCGCTCATAGTGGACCTCCCGGCTATTGGGGTCAAATGATGCAAACTCTATCTGATATGCCGGGGCCGTCCCAACCATACCCTCCTCCACAACTCAACACACAGAGACCGGACACACCACAACAACCTCTTCGTAGACCTCGTCGCAATGCACGTCCCCCACAAGGTGGCACCGGTGGTCACTTAAATAGAGCCGGTCATTAGTTTTTTTCTTTTGTTAAATTGTAATTGTACTTTTCAGTAGATTCTAAATTAATATAATTTATTATTTCTATATTTCATTTTTACATTCTATACCCTAATTTTTTCTTAATTTAAATAAATTTCAATTAAAAAATAAAGTATTTAAAATAAACTATTTAAAAAATATAATAAAATAATATTAATCAATTATTAAAATTTATTAATAACTAATAAAAACATAAATAAATTTTAATTAAAAATATGGTATTTAAAATAAACTATTTAAAAAATATAATAAAATATTATTAATCAAGCTACTAAAATTTATTAAAAACTAATAAAAACATAAATGTATAAAACTGAATTTTTGGAAATCCTACAATAATGCATTCGCCATTTGACTTGGCGCATGGCTTCCAAAACCAACTGATTCGCCATTTGAATTGGCGATTTCAACTTTTCCAAATTTGATTTCTTCACATTCCCCTATTGGATTGGCGACCCAATATTTGTTTTATAGTTATTTTGGTAATTTTTCTGAAACATGTGTTATTATGATAAATAAAATTCAATACATGGTTTTTTTTTTAAAAAATTCCACCATCAAAGGTGGAAAAAATATCAACATTTAATCCGTAATATTCAAACCGGACCGAGAATATTTACTCGGGTCGAACCCCAAACCCGGTCCAATCTAATCAATAAATCAGGGTTCCCAAATTTCAATTTAAATTGCAACAATATATAATCTCAAACCAAAACGAAACCCTAGTTGTTGTTGTCGCCAGCGAGAGGAGAAAATGTCGACCGTACCAGGGCCACTCGTATGGGAGATCGTGAAGAAGAACAACTCGTTTTTGGTCAAAGAGTTCGGAAATGGCAACCAGAGTGTTCAATTCAGTAGAGAGAGCAACAATCTCTATAATCTCAACTCTTTCAAGTACTCCGGTATGCAAATTTTGTTTTCAGAAAGAAATTGATACTGTTGTGATTTTTGTTGTGATTTTGATGATGTGAATTTGAAAAAAAAATGAACTTTTTATGTTGTAGGACTGGCAAACAAGAAAACCGTTGCAATTCAGACTGCTGGTAAAGATCAATCTGTGTTGTTAGCTACAACGAAGCCAAGGAAACATAATAAACCTTCTGTTTTGTCTCAGAAATCGGTTATGAAGAAGGAGTTTCGCAGAATGGCAAAAGCTGTTCAAAATCAGGTTAATTTTTTTAGGGCATGTAAATGGTATATTATGAAGGGTTTTGTTCTGATACATGAACAATTTATGCTATTTCTGTGTTTGATATCTTACTGAATTAATAAATTTGATCATTCTTTTTTGACGTGGCTTTAATTTCTTTGTTTGTTAGATTGCTGTATTGTTAAAATCTATGCAGCACTGAACGACACTCGTGATTGATTACAACACTTAATTTATTAAAATTTTCAAGATAGTACTGTTGCAGTGACAATGTCATGTTTGGGGTGTTTGGGTTTTGTAGGTTAAAATAGTTTAAAATTTTAATTCTGTTTCCTGCATAATTCAGCAGTGATGAGGCTCTAACATATAAGTAGAATCCCTATGTGGGTTTCTTCTGTGAAATATCCATGTTACGCTTGGCTTCTGAGCTTGAAAATTCTATTCCTTAACAAATTTTGATAGATGAATTGAAAATCTGCTTCTCTGTCTGATGTCAGTTAATAACTATCCTCTAGTCCCGGTGTTTTTGTCATTTTAAGTAAACAATATTCCGCATTGATCTGAATTTCTTCTGCATGTTGTGATTTTCTGACTTAATGCTTGACAGTATGTTCTGATGCATGACCATAGTGATTTAGCCGCTTTTTAATTTTTAACTGAAGAATGTGATGTGCTACAGGTGGGAGACAATTACTATAGACCTGATTTGAAGAAGGCAGCTCTTGCAAGGCTGAGTGCGGTTCACAGAAGCCTCAAAGTTGCCAAGTCTGGCCTCAAGAAGAGGAATAGGCACGCATAAGTGAAAGCAAATCTGTAACAGTTTTGTTGCATTTGAAGACCCTTTGTTTTTGATCCATCATTTTTGTGTTTGTTCTCTAAGTATGTAACTCCATGTTAGATTTTCTGAGTTTTGAAATCCAATTCATTATTTACTATTAATATGAAACCTTGGTTGATGAAAAATCAAAGTCACTGAAAAAATGATGGAAGTTTTTAGTGCTCTTTAGTAATGAAGCATGATTCAAAACATATGATTTTACTTTTCTAATTCTTGTATCTTGTTTGCACGAACAGATCGGTTATAAACCTTTCTTTGAAAATATAACTGGCACCAGAAAGCCACAATTTTGAACATTTGACATTTTAATCAAACTAATTGTTGAATGATTAATATATAAACCAATTATTTTCCCAATATTCTTCGTAGTTAAGTTAACTTGGCACCTACACAATTAGTAATTACACATATTCAGAAGAATATATGAAGATGTTGAAATGCAAACACCGTCCCTGCTTCCTGTATACTACCAACATTTTTTGTTACAATAATATTTTCAACTTACACCATTTGACTTTTTCATGTATTAATTTTATTAAGGCTCAAACTTAGAGAGAATATTTTTCTTTTAAATTGTTCATTTTAATTTTTCTAAATTTAAAATAATTTCTTGACAATTTTTATTTATTATTTATTTAAAAAAATTAGAGTATATTATAAATTTGTAAACCTCTATATTAGCATTGTCTAGTTGATTAGTCCTTACAGATTTTTAAAAAAATTTATACAAAAAAGAAAATATATATCCTGATAATATTTTATACATGTATACAAGTTATTTATGATCAAGTATTAATTAAATCAAACTTGTTGAGGAATAATCCTAGAAGTATCGACAAAGTCTAAAGTCAATGAAAACAAATTATCACACGCATTCCCCTATTATCTTACTTGTCTAATTCCAATTCGCCACCCTTTAAAACCAGTACAAAAACATCATAATTTCAAACATTGTATACTACATTAATTTTCACAAACAACTTTTAGCAACTAATTATAATATCAAACAAAGCATCAGCTATATATGTCTGTGAAGAAATCTCTATCTTCTAATAATGGCAACACAGTTTCCAATCTAAAAAGCCAGAAAACTTCAAAACGAAGACGTTTTGACCGTTGTTTTTCATCAGTTGAAGCTGTGCCTATGGAACCAGAAAAGAAGCTGAAAGAGATGGATTCAAATAAGCTGAAAGGTGAAATCAAGAGATGGGCCAAGGCTGTTGTTGCTTATGCTCGACAAGTTAGTGGCAGTTTCGGAAGACTCCATGGCAAGTCACAAATTTAAATTCAAAAGTGTGTGTGAAATGTATATAAATTATGCAGAATGAGTTGTATTATGTTCTTTCTATATTTTGAAAAACTTGAAGTAATCAGTAGTTTCTATATTTACATTTACTGCAAAAAATAACTATTTTTTGATATACATTTCTGGTATAGAAAATAGAGAAAACAAAAATAAAAATCCAGCTTTAGCTTTTAGCTTTCTTTCTCTCTTGCTGAAGTGTCAAAAAAGTGAGACTCAAAAAACTGAAAAAGCTTCACTGTACTACTACAGCCTCTTCACCTTCATCTCTCCATAATTCCTTTCTCCTCCAGAGACTGTTCTTAAAAGCTTCTTAGAACACAAATCCTGTGCCTGTGTAGTGTGTTTTGCTCGGTTCGCCCTTACCCAAGCAGGCTCCTACAAAAGAAAACACTGCCTTAGTCTGTTAGCAGAGCTGGAAAACGGCCTATCTGGTCTGCTTCGGGCCAAGCCGAGCTAAAAAGTTCTAAACAAGGCCATATGCTTTATCAGGACTTTTGGGGCTGGCCGGTTGGGCTAGCCTGTTTTCTGACTCCACATGTTAGTGTCGCCTCTCACAAAACTTCTCTGACATGGAAATGAATCATTAATGCGGATGTATACGAGAGAGAAGAAACAATTACCTCAGGAACCAAGCGAGAGAAACCGAATTTAATCAACAAAAGAACATGTTCCATGATTAAAATTGCTGCAAGTCCAGGTTCTACTTTCCATTTTCCTTCCTCATCATATAGCCATACTAAAAGAGCACAGTTGGTGCAAATTGACATCAATATGAGAAACTGCAAAAGTGAAGGATATCCTCAAATGATCAGTGACATGGGAATCAAGTAAAATTTATAGTTTGAAATCACGTGTGACGGAATGGAGGGTAAAGTAATAATCAACAGAACCATCAAAAGTACTGTAAATAAATACCTGAAATATGTTAAGCCAGGCTCCTACGGTCCCAGCAGCACGAGGAACAGGCTGTCTCAAAATTGCTAGCAGCTTCAGCGCATCTGTTCTGATTTCCATTATGTTGTTCTGAATAGGAAATTAATTAAGCGTTAATTATCGCACAAGTGATTATGCATAAGCTATTTCTACAATTGAATAGGAAACTTTTTTTAAGATCTGTGTAAACTGTTTCTATAATTCTTGATCGGGACATTAGGAAAATAAGTTGAAAACAGTTTATGAAAATGTTATAAACTCTTCATATTTCTTTTAAATATTTACAAGTACTTATGTCATAACTCATAAGATAAGCCTAAAAAAGTAAGCAAGAAAGAAAAAAGCATTTATACCACGGTCAGTGGCGGAGAAATATTTACAAGTACTTATGTCATAACTCATAAGATAAGACAAAAATTTAAAGACAATAAATTCATATTGTACATATAAATAGTTATTAATCAAAATAAAAGATTTTTAATTTAATTGATTTCGGCATAATTTTAAAACTAACATAGCCATATCCAATTTGAGGCTGATACTAACATGGAATATCATTTCATGTGATTCATAATAATTCTTGAAATTAGCAACATAATTTTATTTACTAACTACTGTAACTACAAACTAAATTTAAAATATAAATTCCTAGTTAACATCAATTGAACCATATAATTTAGAGTGAACATAAATTGAAGAATTGGACCTAATATATTTTTTATATTATTTGAGGATAAAATTTATTCTTTTCTTCTTCTTATTTACAACACTATACATGTTTTTTTTTATAATTTTAGTAGCTGCTACTTTTATGTTAAATTTTATTTTTTCAAGTATTCATTTTTTGTTTTTGGTTAATTTGGTCATAAATAGCAACTTTATTTTAATTTTGCACTTTTTGTAATGTAGTTGAATCTAAATATTATCATATAAAAAAATTAATATAATGTATGTTTAATTGCATAAAAAAGGAAAAGAAAATTATGTTTTATTTGTGAAAATTGTTTAAATTACGGCGGTTAAAACTGCCATTATCAACGACAAAAAACCGCCTTTTTATTTAATATATATTATGACATGAGAAATTTTATTCAAAAGTACTATTTTTCTGCATTTTCGTTAATTGTGGCGGTTTTAACCGCCATAACAACACTTATTAACCGCCACAATTTTCATATTCTTTTATAAAAGAAGGCAAAATTTTGGGGCCGAGCCCGGGCACATGCCCAGCCTGACCGGGCCTTAAAACCGCCCATGACCACGGTAGCAAAAGCAAATGCAGGTGGGAATGCGCAAGCGAACATCAAAATCATTCCAAACTACAATGCCAACTCTAAGAAATCTGCAACCAGGTTAGAAATTTTCAGTTACTTCCATGAAAGAATGTCTGTCTGTCTTGTAATGTTTCCAGAACATGTTTAGATAGAAATTAAGCCCTTTTAGTTATAACGGCAAACACGTGTTCACGAACACGAACTATTCCATATATTAAAGAATTAAACATTCAATCCATTTTGAGAGTATAATAGATTTGGCAGTACCATCAAATAACCCATCTTCAAGCTCCTCGCCGATGCTGGCAGTGTAAGAAGGCTTGAGGTATTCTTTCTCCACTCTAGAGATAAACTGAATTCTATTTGCCGATTCTCCTTTCTCTCTCTCCTTCTTGTGTCTTGACAAATGAAAGTGACAAATTAACTGTTCTATGATGGTAATATGCTATTAAAAGGAATATAGTGTATACTGTATAGTCTGCGCGTCTAGCTTGGGATAAACAAGACTTACCGAACGCTGTACTTTTTATAGTTGTATTTGAGATAAGGCAATGAATTTTCCACTAAGTTTTCCAACACCTGAGATTAGAGATGGAGGGAATGAGAAAAGTAAGGGGAAAATAGGAGAAGAATGAGACAGAGATGACAAGAGAAAACTTTTGCTGTACAACCTCAGACAGAAGGAGTCGCTGAATCAAAACTTTACGAAGAGTTGAGAAGTTACGATGCAACAAGGCGTGATAAAAAATTCCAATGTATGTCTGTGTGAGATATTGGATCGAAATCTATTATAGTCGAAGTTTGTTCGCAAGTAATGCGTGTTGTAGTCGAAGTCTGTTCTAACATGCATTAGTAAATATTGCTACGGTTGTTAGCATGTTGAATTGGGTCTTGCTTGTAAGCCCAATTGTTTAAGTTAACTTGTACCCTAAGTTAGCTTGTAATGGGTAATTGTTAAAAAACCCATTAGGTTAGTGTGCTATTTTATTATAAATAGGATGCTAGTTTCTCAATCTTGGAATAAGGAAAAATAGGAAGATAAAATCCTAATTTCAAGGGAGAGAGGTTATTTTGTTATTCTTGTATACTTGTAATCTTGTTCTAAGAGAAAGGAAAGAATAGCAGTTTAATAACCAATCCTTGTTGTTTCTTGTTGCTTTTTTCTTTATTAACCCTAACCCTTGTATGTTTCTTGATAAGAAACCGTGTATACTTTGTTTAACGGTATCCTATTCACAACAAATTGGTGCGGTGAGCGTGGAGAAGATGCCTTCAACAAAGTATGAGATTGAAAAGTTCACTGGAGTGAACGACTTCGGTCTGTGGCGCTTGAAGATGAAAGCCCTATTGGTTCAACAGGGTTGTTTGGAAGCGTTGAAGGGTGAGGCAGCCATGGACGCTGCGTTAACGGCAAAAGAAAAGACGAGTATGATCGAGAAAGCCCACAACGCAATATTGTTGAGCCTTGGTGATAAGGTTCTTCGACAGGTATCAAAGGAGACTACAGCATCGGGATTATGGGTGAAACTTGAAAGTTTGTACATGACCAAATCTCTGGTGAATCGACTATACCTGAAGCAAACTTTATATTCATTCAAGATGAGTGAAGACAAAGTGTTGGCTGAGCAGTTGGATATGTTCAACAAGCTGATTCTTGATCTTGAAAATATTGATGTGAAGATCGATGATGAAGATCAAGCACTGTTGCTGTTGTGTGCTTTGCCCAGAACACATGCTCACTTCAAAGAAACTCTCTTGTATGGAAGGGAGTCCCTGACCTTTGAAGAAGTTCAATCAGCCTTGTATTCTAAGGACTTGAACGAATGAAAGGAGCATAAACCTTCGACGGTGGGCGAAGGTTTGGCCGTTAAGGGAAAATTCTTGCGAAAGGATGGTAAGTTCGACAAGAAGAAAGGTAAAAGTCAACAGAAGTTTTATAGTGGTGAAACATCTAGTATTCGATGTTATCACTGTAAGAAGGAGGGTCACATAAGAAAGGTGTGCCCTGAACGCCTGAAAGATCATGGAGGTAATGGCAATGCAGCCATTGTTCAAGATGACTTCGACTCATCTGATGTTCTTGTGATTTCAAATGGCGACTCGAGGAAAGAGTGGATTATGGATTCAGGTTGCACTTGGCACATGACTCCAAACAGAGAATTGTTCGAGGAGCTATGTGATCAAGATGGTGGATCTGTGCTGTTAGGAAACAACAAATCTTGCAAAATTGCAGGTATTGGATCTGTGAGATTCAAGCTCCATGATGAGTCAATAAGGTTATTGACTGAAGTCAGGTACGTACCTGACTTGAAGAGAAATTTGATTTCTCTTGGTGAATTCGACAGAAAAGGATATGTTTTTCAAGGAGAGAAAAGTATCCTAAGAGTCATGAAGGGGTCGAAGGAAGTCTTGAGAGGCGTGAAGAAACAAGGCTTGTATACCCTTGAGGCTGAGGTTGTAAGTGGTTCGACAAATGTTGCATCTACGAAATCTATGTCGAAGACAGAATTATGGCACATGAGATTGGGCCATGTCAGCGAAAGAGGCCTGGTCGAATTGGGGAAGCAGAACCTGCTAGGAGGTGACAAAGTCGAAAAGTTGGAATTTTGTGAATCTTGTGTATTTGGTAAATCCTGTAGGGCAAAGTTTAACAAAGGCAAGCAAAGAACACATGGATCCCTAGATTACATTCATGCTGATCTTTGGGGGCCTGCAAGGAATCCTTCACACTCAGGTGCAAGGTATTTTCTATCCATCGTTGATGACTATTCCAGAAAACTATGGGTATTCATTCAGAAGACGAAGGATGAAACTTCTGAGAATTTCAAAAGTTGGAAGATTCTAGTCGAAACTCAGACTGGCAGAAAGGTTAAGAGGTTGAGAACCGACAATGGCCTTGAATTCTGCAACGAAGCTTTCGACAGTTACTGTGTTGGTTCTGGGATTGCAAGGCATAAGACTGTAGCAGGTACTCCTCAATAAAATGGCTTAGCTGAGAGATTCAATCGAACAATCCTTGAAAGGGTTAGATGCATGTTGGTTAGTGCTGGATTGAAGAAGGTGTTTTGGGCGGAAGCTGTTTCGATATCAACTTACTTGATAAATAAATGTCCCTCGAATGCCTTGGGAATGAAGACACCTGAAGAAGTTTGGTCGGGACATCCACCTAGTCTCGACAGACTGAGAGTATTTGGCTGTGTGGCCTATGCTCATATTAGGCAAGACAAGGTCGAACCTAGAGCTCTGAAGTGCATGTTCATGGGATACCCTGAAGGAGTCAAAGCTTATAGGCTATGGTGCCTAGAGCCAGGTCACAGAAGGTGTATCACCAGTCGAGATGTAGTTTTCAATGAAGCAGAGATGGCTTTCAAGAAAACTGATTATGCTGACGAAGAGATGGAACAGGGAGAGATTCCTGTTGAGGTGGAGCATGTTGATGCTGAATTGCTTGCCCCAGATGAAGTCGAAAAAGATGCAGAAGATGCTGTCGAAGATGAGGAGATTGATAATGACTACCTGCTAGCAAGAGACAGGTCAAGGAGAGTCATTAAGCCACCTCAGAGACTTGGGTATGTAGATCTTATAGCTTATGCCTTAATCTCTGCTAGTGAGATTCTAGATGAAGAACCTAGAAACTATAAGGAAGTTATGAGGAGTCGAAAGAAGACTGAAAGGCTGAAGGCCATGGATGATGAGATGAAACCTCTTCATGATAACAACACCTGGGAACTGATCATGAAACCTACTGGAGCCAGGTTAGTCAGCTGTAAATGGATTTTCAAAGTTAAGGAAGGAATCGAAGGAGTGACGTCGAAGAGATACAAGGCAAGATTGGTTGCTAGGGGGTTCACTCAGAAAGAAGGTATCGACTTTAATGATGTGTTCTCTACTGTTGTGAAGCACAGATCCATTCGAATGTTGCTTGCCATGATGGCCCAGTTCGACCTTGAACTGGAACAGATGGATGTGAAGACTGCGTTCTTGTATGGTAATCTAGATGAAACAATCCTGATGAGGCAACCTGAAGGGTATGTCGAAAGGGGGAAGGAAGATTATGTGTGCAAACTGAATAGATCTTTATATGGACCGAAACAATCTCCTCGACAGTGGAATAGGAGATTCGACAAGTTCATGGCACACATAAGTTTCATCAGAAGCCAGTTCGACCACTGTGTTTACTTCAGATTTCGACCGGGTAATTCATTTGTTATTTTGTTGCTCTATGTGGATGATATTCTAATAGCAAGCAACAATGTCGAAGAGGTAATGAGGGTGAAGGCTGAACTTAATAAAGAGTTCGAAATGAAGGATCTGGGAGCTGCGTCCAGGATTCTTGGGATTGACATCCGAAGAGATAGAAAGCATTCAAAATTATGCTTATCTCAAGAGGCATACCTACATAAGGTTCTCGAAAAGTTTGGTATGTCGAATTCAAAGCCTGTTGTGACTCCGACAAACCCTCAATTCAAGCTGAGTATAGATCAGTTGTCCCAGCACTGATGTTGAAAGAACTTTTATGAATAGCATTCCATATGCTAACATATTAGGTTCTTTGATGTATGCTATGGTCTGTACTAGACCCGACATAGCATATGCAGTAAGTCTTGTAAGCAGGTACATGGTGAATCCTGGAAAGGCTCACTAGCAAGCATCGAAGTGGATTTTAAGGTACATAAATGGGTCTCTGAATATAGTCCTAATTTATGGTGGAGCCTTGGGTGAAGATAGTAAAGCAGCAATCGATGGATATGTCGACTCTGATTATGCAGGTTGTATGGATTCTAGAAAATCTATCTCTGGATATGTGTTCACTATGTTTGGGACAGCAATCAGTTGGAAAGCAACACTTCAGAAGGTCGTTGCCCTATCAACCACTGAAGTGGAGTATATTGCCCTAACTGAAGTTGTGAAGGAAGCATTGTGGCTTGAAGGTTTTGCAAAGGAGCTAAAACTTCAAGGTCGAGTTATCACTGTTAAATGTGATAGTCAAAGTGCAATACACCTGTCGAAGAATTCAGCCTATCATGAGC